GGACTGCCCCACCACTGGCAGCGCCACCACACCATCCTTCCCAGCAGAGTGTAGTTATAGGTCATTCCCAAGGACCAGTGCAGGTCTACCTGCCCTGGTCTTATTTTCACTGGGCTCCAATATGTTGTACCTGGGCTGCTGTCTCCCCTAGGCCCTCTATTGCAGCCTTCATCTGCTGGCTCCCTCATCTGGCCCCAGTTCTCCAGACCCCTCATTGGATGCCTCCCATCCAGAGTCTGTGCTTCAGCCTCCTTCATCACAGCCCACTGTCCAGCTGAGCCCATCTTCCCTTTGGCCATGATGACCCCCATCTAAGGGCCCTTCACCCTCTCTAGGCTCTGACCCTGCCTCCAAGCCAGTCAAGGTGCCAGATAGCTCTCTGCAACCCTGATCTGCCCCTTACTGTGGGCATGCTTGCCCTTCAGCCACAAGGGCCCTGGTCCCAGCCTGGACCAGTCGGGATCGGCTCAGTGCAGCGACAGCCGATCCTCATATTCCACAGGAGTCCCTCTCTGGGCTCCACCATAAACAGCCACCTCTTACTGGGCTTGTGTAAAGCCCCAGAGATCTTATATGGGGCAGCCCATCACTTTTCCTTAAAAAAAATAAATAAAATAAATTTAGAGTTCCAAGCCAAACCAAATCCAAATAGGCGAGTCATTCAGGAACCATATATGACCCTACTACTGGCAAACATCCTCCACCCCACCTGGGGCTTCAGATGTTTCCAAGTCATTTGGAGAGCATCCTATGTGCAGATCCAGGTCCAGAGGCTTGGATGCCCCTGAGTTTCGCTTGCCCTCAACTATATGGTCACAGGAGCAAGCTAGAGAAAAGTCTCCCATTTCCATGAAGTGGACAAAGTCAAGATCTTCTCACTGGAAATGAAAGTGGGAGGGTAATTACATATTACCTCTGCGGGTACTACCCCCGCCAGAAAAGCAGCTAGCCCCGGTCCCTAGGAAAACTGCCTTAGTGGTCTTGGTATTTCCCCTGCCAGGTCTCAGCTGGGCTCACCCGAGCTCCAGCCTCCACCCCAGCCAGTTCTAATCAGGGGCTTGCCTTGCCCCTGTGTGTAGGCCCATAAGCTGTGAGCCCTTTCCTCAGCTGGCCTAGCTCTTCCTTAGGCCCTTCAGGTTTCTAGGATCCTCCTCCATCCCCATAGTTCCTATCCTAGACTGCCAGTTGTTCCTGGGAGCAACAGATCACAGACTGGTAGTCCTACGTCGGTGGTATTCCTGCAGCAAGGAGGCTTTGCTTCTCAGGGCCTGCTGTTATGCTGAGGCTCTGCAGCCCAGCTCCAATCAGGCGGCCAGCTGGCTGTCATGTGACAGCCTGATTGGCTCTGCAGTCTCCTGCAGGCTGCCTCACAGCCTGCTCAGGCCCTTAAAGTGGCAGGCACCAAAGGTGTCCTGCCACACCTTGTCATAAAAGAAAATGAGGTTGATGTAACAGGACTTGTTCTTGATAAATCTGCTGTGGCACGATTTAATCACTTACCTTCTTACTGCTCACAGATTGATGGGTTGATCACTTATTCTAGTCTCTTTCTTGGAATTAAAAGTAAGCTGCTGGTCCTTTTTCTCTGTGGAACCACTGTTAGTGTCATGCAACAGACACTAAAGAAAAATCATCCAGAGAGACTAGATGATTTAATGGGTTCTTTTGATCACTAACATCTAGAATTTTGCATAATTATTCTTGGCCAAGAAGTTAAAAAGATTCTCTATCAAGAGTTCAGTGCTAGCATTCTAAAATTCATTGTAGAAAGACACAATTTATTGCAAGTTAAAAAAACCCTCCAGTAACGTGTTAACTTTCTTGCTTTTACCTGTTCTACTACTAGTTACCCAATACCTAGTTTCAGCTGGTTGGTTGTTAGGTGCTGCATGGGGAGCATTTAACAAGCAGCACTGGACTAGGGACCTGTGATTTGGAAAAGGAAAGGAACAGCATTTTCATTTACAGAGGAGAGTAGTAAAAGGATTTTTTATTTCCTTTCTAGGAGAGAAGCCATACAAATGTGAACTATGCGACAAAGGTTTTGCCCAGAAATGCCAGCTGGTTTTCCACAGTCGGATGCATCACGGCGAGGAGAAACCATACAAGTGTGATGTGTGCAATCTGCAGTTTGCAACATCGAGCAACCTAAAGATCCATGCCAGGTGGGTCAGAGCACTAACCAGACTAGAGCCCAACAGCTGTGAATGCAGCCAGTGTAACGTATGGCAAGAACAGACTCCAGTGCAGCTGCTCATGCCTGAACTTCAGCATTTGGGGGGCCAGTATTCCTGCTCTCAGCCTGCATTCTCTTCCTTCCCCCAGCCTGTGATTGAGAGTGCCCTGTGGCAAGGCTAGATCTCCTGTTGCCCTTCGTCTCCCGTTGCTGGATTAGCAAGAGCACACTGTCGGTAGAGTGTACAGAACATCCTTTAGTGGTGCTGATAGCTTTCATGTTATATTGACAGAACGCTTCCCTCATTCCCAGAACTGACCCATTGCTTATCCCAGGCCCTCAACTTGATTCAGCAGCAAGTAAAATCATTGGGACCCTTTCTACTGACATTGGCAATTAGAGTGGGCCCAGGAGAGAGACAGCTCCACTTGAGAATCAGACTTGAATCTTTCTTCTGATAGGCCACACGTTATCACTGTGTAGAATTTGAGGAGTAAGGCCCTCACTTGGGGGGATGCAGGGTTGCTTTAACTGCATGACTCTTCTCTTGCATGGGATTACCCAGTTGCATGTCTGTTCACAGGAAGCACAGTGGGGAGAAGCCTTACGTGTGTGACAGGTGTGGCCAGAGGTTTGCTCAAGCCAGCACACTCACGTACCATGTGCGGCGCCACACGGGTGAGAAGCCGTATGTGTGCGATACCTGCGGGAAGGCATTTGCAGTCTCTAGTTCTCTTATCACCCACTCCAGAAAGCACACAGGTAAGGGGAGTGGGATGGCAAGGCAACGGGCCAGAATTGGGCTAGGAGAAGGGGTGGCCGAGTTGACAAGATGAAATAAGTTGCTAGTAACAGTGGGAGTCCCTAGATTAGAACTGGAGCAAGTGGAGTTTTGGAGTCTGCATTGGTAAGAGTTGGACTTGTGCAGGAGAAAGCACCAGAGTCACCCAGCAGCTCAGTGCTTGCGTGTTCCCCTCAAGACTTCAAAGTGGCAGAAATCAAAGTTGTCCCTGTGGTTTAGGGGGCTTTCAGACCCTTGCATGTTAAATGGAGTCATTTATACTTTATCTATGTGTCTGTATAGCAGAATAACCAGCTTTTTGTGTTTCCTTTAGGAGAGAAACCGTATATATGCGGCATTTGTGGCAAGAGTTTTATTTCCTCAGGCGAGCTTAACAAACACTTTCGTTCCCATACAGGTAAGTTTCAAGGCAGGTCACTTCCTCAGCTGGGAATATTTTTTCTACATATATCTTAACATTTAAAATAGGAATAGTGGGCTATACAGGAGACATAATAGGGTTCTCATAGGTACCTATGTATTAAGTTTAAAATTGATTAGATACCTTTTTTATTTTTAAACTCTTGTACACCTAAGATACTGACTCTTTGGCAGGGCTGGAGTTGGAATCTCTTTATCATGAGTCTGCCTGTCTATACACTCTCTCTCTCACCCACCCTCCCCCTGCCGCCCCAAGGAAAACTGATATTACGATCCTGCCCTGGAGGTATTTTACTGTACCATCAAATTCACATGAGAACTGCAGTAATATTAAGAACAATGTCCATGGTTGAGAATTTTAGTTTTCAAACAAACATTTAGGCAAAGAGCTTTGTTCGTGTCTTGCCTTGATTTGATTTAAACAGCAGCGTCAGTCACTGCTTTCATCTAGCATTGCTTGGAAAGCATTCACCTTGAATACTTTTTAAAAAAAGATTTAGTTCACAAAGCTGTTAAAAACTGAGTAGTAGTTATTTTCTTACTGTCTTAGACACTTTAGAAATCGTCTCTGTAAATTATTGTAACCATCAAACCATTTTTCAGGAGAAAGACCATTTATCTGTGAATTGTGTGGAAATTCTTACACAGATATAAAAAACCTGAAGAAGCACAAAACAAAAGTTCACACAGGTGAGTGTTTTCTTTTAAAAATGGAAGCAAAGTAAAGTGCATACAGTGATGAGAATTTCAGTCTAAATGCAGCCAGCCAAGTCAGAAAAGGAAAGACGTCTCTGGGATCTTTGCTTTAATGGCAGCCAGACTTTTCATATGATAACAACTGAAAAAATTAGGGGTGCACCAATAAAGATTTTTTTGGCCAATACTGATGGCCGATTATTAACCAGCCATACTGGCCAATACTGATCTGATTGCCAATATGTAGCCTGTCAGCTTGGAGAGCAGCATCCAGCCAGTAAGTCTGTGGAGGGAGCAGATCAAGGCCCTCACAGTGAAGGAGGGAGTGGGGCTAGGGAAGGCACTGCCCAGCTGGGACAGGGCACACAGGATGGAGCCACAGGTGGCTCATTCAGGGGGGTGTGGGAGGGGAATGGAAGGGAGGGAGTGGCTCCCAACGCTGCGTGCACTCCAGGGGAAGCATGGGGGGCATGTGCTCCCCCAGACTTGTGTGTGGAGCGAGGGTAGACTGCCCATT